AATTTAAAAAAATTAAAAATAATAATCATTTTAAAACGGATAGAGTATTTATTTATTCTCCACAATTGTCAAGAGAGATAGCAACTAGGAAAGAAAAAGAAAAGCAGGGAAGAAAGAAAAAGAAAAGCAGGGAAGGAAGAAAAATATTTGCGCGAGAGACGAAGACGTAAGCGGCCAGTTAGACTCAAATTAGTTGATAGTTGAAAATGATGAGATTAATTTCTTTGTCATAACAACGGGATATATCATTAAAGTCAAATAAATGTTTAAATATTATTTTTTAATTATTAATTTAATTATTAAAAATAACTAATAATTATAATTATAAGTTAATAAATAATAAAATAATTAATAACATTTATTATTTAACAAATTAAAATTAATCTATATATTAGTCTTTTTTAAATATTATAATTGATAATTTACAAAAATAAATAAAATTTGATAACCTTATCACTTGGGTGTCTACCTCCACCAATTCGGTGGTTAGATTGAAATTGAATTTAGTTTGTCCGACGAATCGTCAAATCTGTTTCGGAAACAAAAATGATTTTGAAATAATTTTTTTATTATTTTTATATAATTTAACATATTATTTAAATAATTAAATTTTTTTATTTATATAAAATTTATAATATTAAATATATTAACATATTTAATGACATGTGAAAATTATATAAAAAATAATATAAAAAAATTATTTTTATAAAACTACTTTTTGAAAAGTTTTAATTTAAAATTAAAATCGAAAATTAGGGATTGGACTTGGTAGTCACCTCTCCATTTTTTTTTCCCGCTGGACAAAGTCTAGTCTCATACTCATCACCATGTCAATTCGCAATTTGAATTGGGAATTTTAATTGGGACCAAAGTTACAAAGTTAGGTCAACTTTGAAAATTTCAACTCTTGACATGAATTGTAGTTGTTGAGAATATGGTTTGAGCTGTTCAAAGAAATTGAAAAAAAAAAAAAAATCTTCTACCACTAACTACTAATTAAGTATCAGTAGTATAAAATTGGAAAAAAAAAAGCTTTTTTTTTTAAGCCATTGAAAAAGAAAATTATCTAATATCTAAAATCTTAATGATTCAATCCATAAGTTTTGTAGAATGGATTAAATCGAAAGATATATTAATATTTTTTTAAAATAAATAAATAAAATTTAAAATTTGTAAAGATGTATGAATTTAGTATGGAAATTTATATAAAATTAATTATAAATATGATAATTAATGAGATTTAACTTTACTTTAGAACCCGTTTGGTATATTGATTTAGAGGTAATAATTAGCAATTTTATTCAAACCGCTAAAAATAGATGTTTAGTAAATTTATTTATTGCAAAACTGTTATAAATTAGATATTTGATAAAATTTTTTATTTATCAATTTGAAACTAACAGACAATGAATTGGACCCTAACCGCTAGTAGATTTAAAAAACTATTTAAATAATTTTTTGTATCAAATCACTAATGAATTTAAATTTTTTAATTTTATTGACAAATTTATTCTTCTTAATTTTTTTTAATTTTTTTTCATGATTCTTAATTAGTATTTATCTAAGTAGTTTCAATTTTATTTTGGTTTAAAGCCAACTGTCGTCCCTCTACTTTAATATTTTATTCGTTCTTGTCCCTCTACTAAGGTCATGTTCGTTGTCGTCCCTCTACTCTCCAAAGAGCCAAAACGTCGTCCCTCTACTTGGCTTTTTTTGTTCGTTGTCGTCCCTCCACTAACACCGTCCATGTTGCCGTCACTGCTGACCGTTAAGTCCCAAACGGTCAGCAGTTAAACCCATCTCTTTTTTTTTTTTTTTTACACATATGCTGCCTCACTCAGCCAGCACAGCAGCCATGCTGGTCAGGATCACCAGCTCTGAAAATATTTCTCGTTCTGGGGCTAGGGATGTAAGTACTTATTGTCCATCTAGTAAAACAATCTATATTTTTGCTGAAACTGATTAATGTCGTCTTTCGGTGTACATTAGGGTCGTGCAAGAGAAGCTGGTGAAATTAATAAGAGTTTACTTACTTTAGGGAGAGTTATGAATGCTCTTGTGAAACATCTTGGCCATGTACCTTACAGGTTTGAATTTCTTCTTGGTCCCTTTCTTGATTTCTCTATACCTTTCCTTTCTTGTTGGTGCTAATTATGTTGTTCAATTGAATTTTAGGGATAGTAAGCTCACTTGGTTACTTCATGATTCGCTCGGAGGAAGAACCAAAACGTGCATTATAGCCACAGTTTCACCAGCTGTTCATTGTCTGGAGGAAACCTTAAGTACACTGGATTATGCTCACAGGGCCAAACATATCAAAAATAAGCCTTAGTTCAGATGTTTATCATGCACTGATAGATTTGCAGTTTCTGGTTAAATGAAGAAATTAGTTTTTATTTTTATTTTTGTTCTATCTCCTTTGCTTGCTTTCCCAAACAATTGTCAAATACATGCTA